CCCCCCCAACCCCCCACCCGGTCCTCTTGGACATTACCTACTCCTGTGAGGTCTCAAAGATAATCACTAATAGTTCAGACATTGCTTCAGTTAGTTCCGTAAGTACCCGAGGGTGCATTTCAACAGGCCCTGCCAGCATGAACATTCCCATCTTAGTTAAGAATTCCTTAAACTGTTCTTTCTTTAATTTGACCTGTGATTCTCTTTGCTTGTTAAATTTTAATTGCATTATGTACCTGGGCATAATTTACCTTTTTTTTTTTTTTGTAGACACCTAAAGCAAAGAAGGCCCTGAATATTTCACCCTGTTGTACATGATCTGTGATTTGTTCTCCTTTCCTATCAAGTAGTGGATCTATACTTTCCTTTGTCTTCCTCTTCCTTCTAATGTATTTTTAGAACCTTCTTGCGATGCTTGTACCCCTTGCTAGTTGTAACTCATTTTGCCCCTTAGCCATATGATTTTATTCCTACTGTTCCTCTAAACTCACCTTTACTCAAGTCTCCTAGTATCAAGTTTTTGTTTGATTTTTCTTTTTTAATTTTCAGGTCCTTAAAGAACTCCTGATGCAGCCGTATTGGGCTCTTGCCATGCTTTTTACTTCTCTTTCACATTGGGATAGTCTACATTATGCCTTAATATAGTTTCCTTTAGTAAGTGCCAGCTCTCCTGCACTCCTTCATATTCTCTTCTCAGGAGACCCTATCTGCTAGCTCCTCTGTTTGTTGATACCTTCTTTTTTTGAAGTCCCTTATCCTTACTCTGCTGCTTTTACTCCTCCTTTTTCTTACAGTGGGGAACTCAATCATTTCACAATCACTTTCATCTAGATTATCTTTCATCTTCAAATTTTTCAATCATTTCCTCCCTGTTACTCAGAAATAGACCTAAAAGAAAGCTCTTCCCCTAAGAATTTCCTCTAGTTTTTGAAACAGAGTTATCCTATATCCATCCTAGGAACTTGATGGATATCATCTGTGTCTTGCTGCATTGCTTTTCTAACAGATATTTGGGTAATTAAAGTCTCTCATCAACACTGGTTCCTGTCCTTTACAAGTTTGTATTTTTTGTTTTTAAAAAAAAAAAAAAAAAAGCCTCATCCCCCAGCTTCTTTTCAGTAGGTGGTCTATAGTAGATCCTTACCCTGACATTGCTGGTGTGTGTGTAGCGGGGCGTGTTTCTGTTTCGTTTTTTGTTGTTTTGGGGTTGTTTTGGTGGGGGGGGAGCATAGGGGGCATGATTCCCTTGCTTTACCCAGGAACATTCAATAAATCTGGGCCTCGCTTATTCCTGAACGTCATAGCTGGTATGCATCTTCAATGCCTCCCTCTTCTTTTTTTGTCTGTCTGTTCTTGAAGGACAAACAGTATCTTTCTGTACCATTCTGTGATTTCTCCCATCATGTCTTTCTGACATTCATGAAGTCATACTTCTGGTTGCACAGTAAGACTTCAGGTTCTTCCTGGGGTTTTTTTTCCTCTCCAGATCCCTGGTTTGTGTATATCAACATCTCAGATGCTTGGCACGTTTCTTTATGATTCTTCTTCATGACCATATGACCTAACTGAAGTTTCCCATTGCTCCCAATTCCAGCCTACTGTTGCTTGTTTTTTGTTTTTTTTGTTGTTGTTTTGTTTTTGTTTGCTTGGGTTTTTTGGGGGGGGGTTGTTGTTGTTGTGTTTTTTTTGGTTTTTTTAAAATTATGAGTGAACTTTAGTCCCTGGTTCCCTTCAAACCTGGTTTAAAAACTACCTCAGTAGATTGGCAAGTCAGTGTCTTGGGATGTTCTTTGCCCCGCTTTTCAGGAGGACCACATCTCCTCCCAGCAGTCCTTTCTTGTGGACTAAAGAAGTTCTCCTTCCAAGATTGAAAAAGCCAAGTCCTTTTGTCAGTCCCATCTGTGCAGCTATGCATTTACCTCCCACATTAGTCTGTTCCTTTCTGCCCTTTGCTCTGAACTGGGAAGACTGGGCACGCATCCTGTGTGACTTCACTTCCGGAATCGTGTAGTTGCTTTTGATCTGGCAATGCCATTAATACCCACATGGATGAGCAGCATGGGGTAGTGGTCAGATAAGCATCATCATCTTCTCCTTGATGTCTCATAGTTTGGCAATCAACACACATCCCTGGATGACAGGCCAGGTTGGCAGATGGATGTCTCTGTCCACTGCTCCCGCCTTGGTGATTCTTGAGCTTGGCAGGCAGGAACTTGAGTAGGAATGCAACACAGTCTGCTGCAGCACAAGGTGGCCAGTAGCTGGTCTCCTCTAGGAGGAGCAGCCAGTTCTTCCTCCCACAGTGCTGGTGCAGTCCTCTCAAGTTGGCTAGCTTTCTCCACTCTCCAGGAAAATAGGGATGTGGACACTTGGGCTTGGATATCTACATGAAAAGATGTAAAGTATATTTAACTAAAGTGATCTCTTCTGCTGCAAGTAAAACAGGCACAGAGGGAGTAGAAATTTTACCATGACGATACAAATCTTTTCTGACAGTAATGTAGGGTCAGTCCTTGCCAATGCTCTTGGTGCAAAAATTAGGAGAAATGTGTGTTGTGTGGAAGACCTGAGTCCTTCATTCTTTAGGGACTTGAACTGAAAGATTCTCAAATCTGTGAAGCGGCAGTTTTAGTACTTTTAAGGACAGGTCAGCAGAATTTTTAGCCCTTTTTAGGGCCCTCTTGCCAATAGAAAATGAGAATATTATTTGCCCGCAACACTTTAGCAAAGTGCTAGAACTAGTCGCTCCCTCCAAGACAGGTGTGCACTGTGGTGTGCACTGGGCAGTCAAAGCATTCCTGCAGGTGCATATTAAATGTCCCTAGTTTCAACAGAGGAAGAGCTGAATTATTAATTGGATCCCAGGGAGAAGACTCCATCTTTCCTGGGACCTGGGCTGAAAATCAGCCACTCTCCACCATGAGCTAAAGGGGAACACCCTCAGCCATTGACAGTGGTAGTGCCATCATAGTCATCTCCTCTGCCAGCCATCAGGCACCACAGGGGGAGGTCTTTGCCACCATTTATACCTTTGGATGGTTTCTGCACGCCAGCCAGGACTGCTTGTGACTCTCTGGTGTTGTTTGACTAGAATATGGCGAATTTCTGCACTGCAAAGGAAAAAAATTCACTGACTTCGAAGAGATACGTATGGAAATCGAGGCAGAGACGGACAGGGTTACTGGCTCCAACAAGGGGATTTCTCCTGTACCCATCAGCCTCCGAGTCTACTCTCCCCATGGTGAGTACTATACAGTATCCATGGCCAAAGGACTGGGTAGGGCAGACTGGTAGGCTTGATTTCTCTGCTGCCTTTCTGTCATGGACTTAAGTAATAATAACTGAGATGAATACATGAGTGTTCAGATGCTTTGGTTCTGCATGGGGCCCAGTCTGTCATGAGGATGTGGGAGCAGTTTCCAGTCTCTTGATTATTCGGGCTATGAGTATTTGAACAACTGACTCAGCTGGCTGGCAATAGCATTCTGGGATGCCATGTACTGGAATCAAACTAAGCCAAACCTTGCTTTCCAGATTGGTTAGAACTGGGATTGTTGTACAGGTAGCATACTCAATATCTAGGGGACAAGGAGCCCTTAGCAAGACTCTTTTGTCATCCCCTATTTAATCATGGGTTGCACCAATAGACTTCAAAGGGAGCTGTGTCTAGGCGTCTCTTGGTCAAAAGCAGGGATGAGATACTCTGATGTGGGCAGCAAAGATGTATTTTTTTAAATGGGATTTTTTTCCTTCCCATATATAAAAAATAAAAATAAAGATTTGATACTCAGATCAAGTGTAGGGGGCATCTGAATCCCAAGACCTCTGTGCTTGGGCCTGCACATAAGATGCCTGCTAATGGATTTGGGAGTATCTGAAGTCCCAGGGTAAGAGTCTGGGGTGGAGGATGCTCGCCCGTTGTAGTGCCATACATGGTGTTTAGAACGCTTGAGTTCTGCCTGCTCAGTCAATATGGTTTTTGGAACTGATTTGACCTGGAACGCAAAATATAAAAATAATATTGTATTAAAGAAATTGTAGACTTGATAGTTGATAAGATTCTTGGCTCGATCAAGATACTAAATAACCCTGCTGAGAACTCTTTTTGTTGTCTCTCAGTGCTACTGTGCAATTGTTCAGAGTTTCTGCAGCTCTCCCACCCCTCTGGGCTTTTGTTTAAGTCAGTTATTTTCAGATTATAAAGTGGATGCTGCCTTCAAAGTCCTTCCTGGTGTGGAGTTGAGAATGGAAGTGCGCAGGGTTTCTCCACACACTCCACAGAATGGAAAGATGGAGTGATTGAAAAGCTATGATCTCTTGTCTGTACTTTAATTCCTTGCTTGTTGCATCTTCCCCTAATTTTAATGAGCCTAGCCCTTATTCAACCAAAACTCTTATCAAAGTCAAGTGAATGTTGCCTGAGAGTGGACTCCAGGATCTGTCCCTATAGTTGTTTAATATTTTTGTGCCTGGCTTTTTTTTTTTCTTCTTAACACCCTCCCACACAGCTAACTGCTGCTGTGGTGGTGAATTGCCACTTGCAAAATGATGCTCAAGAGTTTGTTTGAATCTAGAAGCTGAAAAGAAATCTGGGGTCATGTCACTCCATTGATTTTATTTTTTTAAGCAGCACTTCCCATTGAAATCAATAGCATAATATGATATGGGCTCTGTCTTTGTAAATGGTGAACCAGGGAGAATTATTTACTTCCATTTTCTAGGGAGATCAAGTGAGTGAATGACTTTGAAAGTCATCCCTTGGTGTGTCTCTTGCTGTCCTCCCTAGTAGCACTTTGCCAGGTTGAAGGTAGGGAGACGCTCCTGACATTTCCCTTTGTGTGCATATGGGGAAAGGGCTTTTCCCCTGTACAGGAGTGACTGATGCTGCACAGATATCGATGATTCTGAAAGGTGAGGCCACCCATTTTGCATCCAAATCCCTTAGCAGGAAGACACTGAAAAGCCTAGAATGTGACATAAGCCTTTCAGAAGCTGCTGCATGGTTGCACATTTCCATCAGCAGAACAGGGATTAAAGCAAAACAAAATATTTGTGCTGATAATCCCTTGCAGTACTCTGGCATTCATTCATGTACACTATCAGACTGATAAATATTAGCCCCATTTTACAGATAGTGAGGTGCGGAGAGTTAAAGTGACTTGCCCAGTCATGCAGACAGTCAGTGGCAGTGAGGATACGCGCACAGTGGCCCTGTTCTAATGTTAGACACACTTTCTCTCAAAGCTGTGACTACCTCCCAGTCTTCTGTCCTCCAGTCTCTTGCTCTAACTTCTAAACCTGTTAGATGCTCCATCTTGATTAATTGGTAACAAAAAGTAGCTTGCCCATATACCATCTTTATTCCTTTTTCCTCTGGCAGGGTGAGCCTCTGCATTGCTGGCTGAGTTATTTGCATGAATGCATCATGCCTATCAGTGGAGTATGCAGGAAATTTATAAGTTACAGATACTTTTTTATAAACACAACAAACTACCCCCATAGGCCATCACTCTCCTTTTATTTCCTTTGTTTAGTCCTGAATCTGACACTGGTGGACCTGCCAGGGATGACAAAAGTCCCAGTGGGGGACCAGCCACCTGACATTGAGTTCCAGATCCGGGATATGTTAATGCAGTTCGTTACCAAAGAGAACTGCCTGATCTTGGCTGTATCCCCAGCCAACTCTGATCTGGCCAACTCTGATGCTCTGAAGATTGCAAAGGAGGTGGACCCCCAAGGTAAATCAAGCTTCTGCTTTTATTTTGGCATAGCACCTCTAGCCCTGGGTCTGTTTTTTACTTTATCCCTGGTAATGTGGTGAGCCCAGTATACCCATCGCTTTGCTGAGGAAACAAGTGTTTCCAGCTTGTGTGGCTCTTGTTCAGGCTATTCAGCCTCATGAGGCTGTGGTATTTTTCAACTCCTACAACTCCCAAGGCAGTAGCCTAATCTATATAAAGAGTCTCCTAAGGCAGTACCCTGTGAAGCCTGGTTGATGTTACAACAGTGCCTGCTGTCTGAAGTATCAGAAATTTCCTTGTCTCCTTCCAGTGAAGAAACAGCTCTGTTACCCATGTTTTCCCTGCAGGGTACAGACTTGGGCAGGAACATCTGCACCGGACTCCCTCTCTATAGGACAGGATGGGGCACCTCAGCAGGGTATAACAGCATCAGCTTCCACACCTCCTCCTAGATCCTGCTGGTATCTGCCAGTCTCCCCTGATCAAGGCCTTGTGCAGGAAGTCCCATGTGCCTGAATCTAGCATCCCTGTGGAATTTGTGCAATGTTCCCTCTGCCCAAGCACATAAAACGAGTTCTCATTCGTTTCTTTCTTTCCCCACCCCCTCATAGGCCAACGCACCATTGGAGTCATCACCAAACTGGACCTTATGGATGAAGGAACTGATGCACGAGATGTTCTAGAAAACAAGCTACTTCCCCTTCGAAGAGGTATGGTTCCTTTTGTCATATCATCCTCATTCTCTTTCCTATTTCACTCTTCTTTCCCTCTTGCAGTCAAGCCTGGCATCAACTCCTTCCTTCACCATTCCCTAGAACTTTTGCAAAGAGTGGGTCTCCTTTTTCTTCCTTCCACTCCCCTGGCAGGATCTTAACCCCAGGCTTGAGGTTAAGTCATAGGATCTCTCTGCTCTGAGCTGGATTTTTCCAAGGGAGTGTTTTGGGCCACCCTGTTTGCAAGGGTCTTTGTATTTCGTATGCAGTCCTGGCAGCCAGAACCCAAGAGCATGTTCCTGTTCTGTTTTATACAGCTTTCCTTATGCAGCAGAAAGGTAACCACTGGAATCTGGGTCTCACCCTTCCTTCCCAGATGTCAGTCTGAACATTCCTTTTCTTATGATTTAACATTTGCAATATGCTAATGTCTATGAACCTACCTAACCTGTGGTGAGAGAGAGCAATTTTCACGGCTTGGCTGTAGCCTGAAGAGCTGATTTCGCAGTCATTTCATGGCAGCCTTGCCCCTTGGCACCGTTTTTTAGCAGAGAGGCCCTGCCCCTCGGTGCCGATTTGCCAGAGAGGCCCCGGGGGGGGGCACCACTTCGACTGCTGGCTCTTCTTTGTGTGGCCCCATCCCTTGGCACTGTTTGGCAAAGAGGCAATAGTAGGCAGTCACTGTCTTGACTGCTGCTCTTCATGCCGCCCTGCCAGCCAGTGCCTCCCTTTCCCAGGGGGATCGCAAGGCTGGGCCATAGCAGCAACAAGAACCACTGGTTCTCACTGGGGAGCCAGCATCTTGTTAAGTTTTTTTTTTTACTGGGGGGGATTGATTTTTCTGGGAAATTGTGGCCAATGCCATTTTTTTGCAGTTTCCATGAAAATCACAAAATTACAACTTAAGTATGTCCCTACTAATGTCTAATAGACAAAATCAGGTTGGGCCTCATGGTGGTAAGCAATGTAAAATGTATAATGAATGGTGGTCCCTGCCCCAGATTTCTTACAATATAGAAAAGAAATTGTGAAAGGTACATGAGACACACCAGTGGTTCAGGTGGGGCTGGGGGAGTGAGATAATGAATATAACAAGAGGTGTAGGTTAGACAAGAGGACAGGTTGGACAAGTGGGCAGAAAACAACAGAATGCAGTTCAACAAGGAGAAATGCAAAGTGCTGCACCTAGGGAGGAAAAATGTCCAGCACACCTACAGCCTAGGGAATGACCTGCTTGGTGGCACGGGAGTGGAAAGGGATCTTGGAGTCCTAGTGGACTCCAAGATGAACATGAGTCGGCAGTGTGACGAAGCCATCAGAAAATCCAATGGCACTTTATCGTGCATCAGCAGATGCATGACGAATAGGTCCAAGGAGGTGATACTTCCCCTCTATTGGGCGCTGGTCAGACCGCAGTTGGAGTACTGCGTGCAATTCTGGGCGCCGCAATTCAAGAGGGATGCGGATAACCTGGAGAGGGTCCAGAGAAGGGCCACTCGTATGGTTAAGGGCTTGCAGGCCAAGCCCTAAGAGGAGAGACTGGGGCACCTGGACCTCTTCAGCCTCCGCAAGAGAAGGTTGAGAGGCGACCTTGTGGCTGCCTATAAGTTCATCACGGGGGCACAGAAGGGAATTGGTGAGGTTTTATTCACCAAGGCGCCCCCGGGGGTTACAAGAAATAATGGCCACAAGCTAGCAGAGAGCAGATTTAGATTGGACATTAGGAAGAACTTCTTCACAGTTCGACTCTTTCCTGCCTATGCAGGGGGTCGGACTCGATGATCTATTGAGGTCCCTTCCGACCCTAACATCTATGAATCTATGTGTGTGGTTCTTAACTGGCTAGCAGTAGTAATCACAGCTTCCACCTGCCTTCTATTTTCATCCCCAGGTATCAGAACCTGGCTTCCCTTAGGGGAAATTCCAGTTTAAATTTTTCAAGTGGTTCATAATGGGTCCAGTAATCACTACTAGGATCTCCCTCTCTTTGTCTTGGCAGGTATATGAATGCAAAATTGCCCATTTCAAAGCTTTCTTTTTGTATTCCTATGTTAGTATCACATCACAGGCTTTCTATACTCTGCCTTGCCTCTCGATATGTCAAGGGTTTCTTTGCTTTGTCCCCATAGCTATCTAACCCTTGATCTTTTCCCTGGTAGGTTATATTGGTGTGGTCAACAGAAGCCAGAAAGATATTGATGGCAAGAAGGACATTCAGGCTGCACTAGCTGCAGAGAGGAAGTTCTTCCTTTCACACCCATCCTACAGGCACATGGCTGATCGCATGGGCACTCCCTACCTGCAGAAAATATTGAACCAGGTAATGGCAACTGGGCTCAGCAGTTGGCAACCACTAGGACAGAGAACACATCAAATTGGGATTGTCACCTGAAGTTACTATGAGATCATACAAATACCAAAGACTCCCACGTACTTGGCATACAAAAGCTAACGAATACTCATAGTCACCTGGGACACAGTCCTTTGTTTTTCTGCTTTAAAACTTGCACAGGGTAGCTATGTGACTTGCCCAGGGTCACAAAAGGAGATGGGCAGCACCAGAGCTACAAAAATGGGCTGCAAAATCAAGTTTCTACACCAGAGAGCCAAAATCTGTTGTGGCTTGCACAGAGTAAGTTCACTGGAGTTTGTTTGGACTTCTATCCAGGGAGTTGCTCTTGCTTTGCACCATATTTGTTTTCTGGCTATTTAAAAACAATATCCTCAAACCTGCCAGAGCTCTTTACATTTCTTGTAGGGCTATGAAAGTTAATTAGCAATTTGAACACTCGATGCAAAACAATGCCTTTCAGCTTCCCTAGTCTGCTGAGGATCAGTTGCGCTTCTCATATCCGGCACTAGCAATCAGCAGGCGAGCTCCTGCTCTTGGTTCACTTTCTCCTCCTACATGTACATGATTGGGGCAGCAGGAAAAACATGATGCTATTATTATTATTATTATTATTATTATTATTGAAGAGTGTCTAAATAGGGTACTAGGAAAATGGAATTCACCAAGCAGTGCCTGGGGAAACTGTTGATGCTGCTTCTACAGTGGCTGTCAAGCACTTTTCTACCATGACCCACTTTTAACTAAGGTACATGGTTATTGGTCCTATATCCCTGTGGCTGCAAACAATCTGCACAGATCGGTTGTCAGGAAAGAGAGGAGATGGATGCAACAGCTTTACCCTGGCACACCTCTCTGTGCACACAGTTCATGCCAGAGTGGAGATGCTGACAAGGGAAGTGCAAGACCCTCAAGGAAACAGAGGGTCCAAGGGCACAAGGCTTCAGGTGCCTAGGCTGGAAGGCCCTACTAGGGAAGGAGCCAGGGTGGAGAGGACAGCAGCTGCCCCCATGCTCCAGGCAGCAAAGCCCTGGGCAGCTCCTCTGCTGCAAGCTCCGTGCTCTCCAGGCACACTGTGAAGCATTGAGACTGCAGGAGAGATCGTCTCCAGGCTCACAGTGCTGGTGACACAGCAGCACCTAGTGGTCAGGAAGAGTCAGGATAGGTGCACACTATTCTGCATTAGTGGTGGGTGTGGGGATAGACAGTGTTAGAAGAGCAGAAATCTAACCCCAAATCCCAGGCAGCCATTTGCACCTGCTTATCATCAAGATTGCAAATTCAACTTTCAAGCCCTGATCTTGCAAGTACTTAGGCACATGTTTAGCTGGAAGAATACATGGAGTCCCACTGGCTTCAAAGTTAAGCACATGTGTAAGAGCTGGTCAGAAAGTGGTATGTTCCATTCAGTAGTTAGCGAGATTCATTTGTTTGTTGCCTTTTTTCAGACTTTCTTACTTTGTCCATGAAAACCAGAAAGTCAAGGTAAAAAATATTTTGGTTGAAAAACTGAAAATTTAAAATGGAAAAATGTCCATGAAAATTGGAGCTGTTTTTTTCCTATGAACGTTTTTGTTTCTGATAAAAGCCCAAATTTATCCACAAAAGATGATCAAAAATTTTCCTCCAGCACTTTTCTTTTTTGCAGGATCAAGGCTAAGGACGAGGATTTTAGAGCCTAACTAGATACAGTCCAGCACTGTACAGTCCCAAGCCCATTGTTTGAGGGAGCCTCTTTGGAAGTCATGAAAATCTGCACAGCAAAATCCTTTATCCTCCTTATGAGGGAGGCTTTACACAGTGTCTTTGAGTCAGACCTGGCAGATCTGAGATACTGATGGAATGGGGTGAAGAGGCTTCTTAAACTAGCCAAAAGATTGGCAATAAAGCCCCCACTCTACAGAAATAAGCATGGCATTTTTCTTGTCTTTTACCCTTAAATGAGTAATACTTCCCTAAAATGAGCCAAAGATTTCTCTCTTATGCTGGTGTTGTGAGATTCAGTCAGTGGTCATGAGAGTCTTGGGATCTTCAGGTGAAAGGTGCTGGAAGTGAATAGAATAATATTACTCTGTACTTCTAGTCGTATCAGTTGTACTGGGGTGTCTTTGTGGTTAAGCTTGCAGTCAGACTCAGGAGGCTTTGATTCAGTCTTTAGTTTGGCCCCAGGCTTCATGGGTGACCTGGGGCTTAATCTTTAACCAAGCTTGTAGCTCGCTTCTCCATCTGTAAAGGAAGATTCTCCTAGCTCACAGGGGCATTGCAGGGCATGCAGGGACTGTGGCAATGAGTGCTATATGAATAAATACACTGTCTTCACCTGACTCTTCAAAGAAACAGCACCCTTTTCTTCCTGGAACCTGAATATTCCCATATGTTAGCATAACAATAAGAGAAAGCCCTTGCTGGGATATTCACCCACCTTTTGTGAATATTTGAAACTTGAAAGGCACAGCTTGTCTCAAAGTTCTCCTGTCAGTGTTACACTGGTCTCTGTCCCCTGGACCCCAGGGATTTCTAGAGGCAGATCTATAACCCAGCTCTTTCTTTGCACTGGAGAGATGACCTAGCTATCAGCTCCATCTCCATGTTATTTCGTTCAGTCATTTCATTTAATTTCCTTATGAGTCTACAAAAGAGTTCCACCAATGGGGCTGACCAATTCAGTCACACAAGAGCCAGAAGGCAACAGTCCTAGGAGTTGCCTATTCTGGCATAAACGGCTCTTGAACACCTCGCCTCCAGCCCAGCACAGAGTTGTATCCCATTTTGTATCTGCCATGGTGCTGAGGCAGCAGTTACCACGAGTATTTTAACTACTTTCTTCACCTTTTCCCTATGTAGCAACTGACCAATCACATCCGGGACACCCTCCCAGGGTTGCGGAACAAACTCCAGAGCCAGCTTCTGTCCATTGAGAAAGAAGTGGATGAGTACAAGAACTTCCGTCCCGATGACCCTGCTCGAAAGACCAAAGCTCTGCTTCAGTAAGTGACCCATCCTGTACATCCCTCTTTGCAGAGGTCCATCCACTGATATCTGCCTGTTCACATTGTTTGGTTTCTTTGTGCTTAGGATGGTCCAGCAATTTGCCGTGGACTTTGAGAAACGCATTGAAGGATCCGGAGACCAGATTGATACCTATGAGCTGTCTGGAGGAGCTAGGATCAACCGCATCTTCCATGAGCGGTTCCCGTTTGAACTGGTGAAGGTACCCACTCCCTGCACCCATGCTTACCTAGTAGCTCCTTTTTTTTTTTTTTTCCACCTCTCCTTCTCACCTGCTGTTGTCTTGTCTTGGCTCATTTGGTATCTTTCCTCCTTCTCACCTGCTGTCTCCTCTTTAATTATCTCCTTTCTTCCATGTCTTTCCCTTCATCGCATTCTCACCTTTATCTGTTCTTCTCATCTCCTGCTGTTTTTCCCTTCACTAGTCCTCTCTTCTCTTTTTAACTCCTTTCTCTCTATCTCCCCACTGTTCCTTCATCCTCAGTACCACCCCCTTAGCCCCTGTCCTGGTATCTGAATACAGCCTCTCCCTGAGCCCCTGCCCTTGTATCAGAGTATGGGAATGCCTTTATTTTCTCTCTGGTTTATGTAAAAATGTTTCTCCTTAACTCTCCCATGACCTGGATTCCTTAATGCAGAATATATAAATACACTTAGTGTGTTGGTCTTTAGCCAAAAAAAGAGACCAATCATCCTAATTAATAGGTATGTAGAAATGCATTGTCAGACCTTCAGGTCCGGCTAAATTGTATACAGTGGAAATGGGTACAAAGGTAGTGAAGAACTGCAGTTTCTTGTTCCTATGGATGCTCTGGGCAGGGCTGGTTCCCTTGCACCAAGCTGAACTAAGGTCTGCACCCATTTACACTGATTCCTAAATACTCTCAAGGGGCATAAAAAAGAATTGGTAGAGTGCAGGAGTACCCAAGTCATAGCTACTTGGTTGTGTCCTCCCATCCCATTCCCCATCAGTTGAAAGGAGGAAGGTGTGTAAAAGCTCTTTTGTTGGCTTAGCACCACTAAAGGATCTCCAGAGATGAGGAATGATCTTTTTCCTCAGGCAATCTAGTTAGTGCTGGGGCTACATTGCACTCGCAAGGGGCACAGAAGGGCTGCGCTGCATAAGGGAAGGTGGTCTAGAATGGGTAAAACCTCTAGGGAAAAGGTGATAAAATGATGTTTTCTTGGTGGTTTTCAGAACAGAAACAGGAGCTAATGCATTCCCCTGTTTAGCTCTCCTTTGCTCATGATTATTTAATTCCTGACACTTTCCCCTTGGAATGAGATGCCAAGATGTTCTCAGTGAAGGGCAAGAGCCTGTATTGTACCTGATGATGTTGTTTTTTTGTACAGGAGACATACATCCCAGTTTTATACATCTGTATTAGAAAAACAGTAGGTGGGACCTTATGTCAAATTCACAAAGTGCTTGTAGGATACACATTGACTTGTGTCAGGGCTGTCCCTGCGGGGAGGGGGGGCACTGCCCCAGCCCCCGTGCTTTGGGGGCCCTGCGGACAGTGCCATACAAGCCCTGTCACCGCTGCCGGCTTGAGCTGCTAGTCACACCCCACCAGGCCCCGCACAGGATGATCTGCCCCAGGCCCTGCACATCCCTAGGGATGGCTCTGACTTGTCTCGTATCTTGTTCCCTTTGTTCTTTGTTTCTAAGCATGTCTGCACCTTCCACAGGAGCTCCAAGTGCTTAGCGCCCTTGGGGGTCCAGCCCCAACCTGAGTTGCTCAGATTTATGCAGCTGTCAGTGCTTCCAATAGAAGCCAGACTACCTGATTCCCCATTCTGTGCTCCAACCAGCAGGCCTCCCCACCCTTTCATGCCAGCTCCATCTTTCTGCATCCTACCTGGTTATCCAGTCCATGGCCTGATAGGGATGCTTTTCTCTGGAGCTGCATGATAATCTCTCTGCTGGTGTGTACAGTGTGGGATCTCGGGCCTCTCCTGACAAACTTTTTCCTTTGGTGCAGATGGAGTTTGATGAGAAGGAGCTGCGACGGGAGATCAGCTATGCTATCAAGAACATCCATGGTATCAGGCACGTATCATATGCTAGGCAGGCCAGTGACTGCATAGCCTTGTAAATATCTCTAGACCTTCCAAACCAAGATGAGAAGACTTCAGAGGTACGGTAGGTCAGCAGAGAGCGGAGGACACCTCTTTGGGCTTCTGGTATCTGAACAGCCTTGTCCTGGTGGTCATCCAAATCAGTTTTCTTTCTGTTTTCCCTATAAGAGCAGCAGGAGCCTGAAAGGTAAAACTGCCTTGGTGACCAGCCTTTTTCTTCCCACCTCCTGGACTGATGTGAGGAGGAGGAAGAAGTGATGCTGCCCTTTAGTAAGAGAAAGTGACATAAGAAAGGATGCTAGCTCCCACCAGGTTTTTGTATTGTTTTAATTTACCTTCCCCTGCCAATGAGAGCACAAACCTGCAAGCTGGCGCTGATTATGCTCCCCTCCCTGCCCCAGTGTTGTCACCTTTCCAGGCCAGACTAGGCCCCTGGTCCATGGTAAATTCAGAAGCTTGCATTTGTGTCAGAGAAGACTAATGCTATGCAGCTTGCTGTGCCCATCAGACAGCCTGACCCCTAGAGATGTTGAGCTCCTGGGACCCCCTTGTGGTGTTGGGAGCCCAGCACCCTCCCCCATGCCAGATCCTGCTGAACTTGCCAGAATGCAAGCTGATGTTCAGGTACAGATGTGGGTATCTTTTTCCCTCCTTCAGCTCATTTGTACTGAGCTGACTGAGTTCATGAGAGCTATCACCTTATCACTCCTTTATCATCAGCAAAGGACTCCTCACTGACTCTTAAGGATGAAATTCCCTCCTCTGCAGAGGGGCAGGCCTAAGCCCATGCACCGTTTAACCCCTGCCTGCCCCTCCTGTGAGGGCCTAGAGTGAGCCCCTGGCTGGGATCAGCTTCACCCTAAGGACCCTTTTTGTGAGGTGTCTGAGTATCCTTCCCTAAACTGATTCTGCCAAGGTCTCCTTCCTGGGTTTTTTTTTATTTCCTCCAGCCCAGTGTGCTGGGTTTCAGTGATACAGGTGCCTGCTCTGAAATTTGTATGTAATGCTGTGACATTCTCCTTGCCCCCTCTTCCCCCCTCTTGCCTTGTCTTGTCTCCCACCCTGGGTGTTTAGAACCGGTCTCTTCACACCTGACATGGCCTTTGAGACCATTGTGAAAAAGCAGGTGAAGAAGATTAAAGAGCCTTGCCTGAAATGCGTGGATATGGTCATTTCGGAGTTAATCAATACTGTTAGACAGTGCACCAAGAAGGTAACCAGAGTGAGCATGGAGTTCACACGTTCCTGCCCACCCACCTGCTCGCTGGCTGAAGCACAGCATTGTGACCTGGGCAAGGACCTGCCTGCAGTGAAACTTGGTGTTTCTTACCACCTCCTTGGCAGCATGCCTAGACCTGAGCAATACCAGCCTGGGGCAGTCCAGCCAACCAGTCAATCAGAAAGAGATGGGACAGCTGGTCAGAGTAGGCTGCTGCCATTGCATTAGTGGTAGCTGTGGAATAGCAGAGACAATCCCCTCCATCAGCTGTCCAACATGAGTACTGGTTCCTTCTAAAAGCCAAGGATATTTCTTCCACCAGAGGCTGACAGCTTATAATTGATTTGAATTTAACTTCTGACTTTAATGCCCAAATCAGAGTCTGGGATATAGAACCCTGTCCTGAGAATTTCTGGAGAATTGGGATCCCCCAGGCCTGAGTCTTGATTGACCATCACAGAGCAAAGAGCTATGTTGGAAGGACACACAAACTCTGTAACGCAGAGAATCGCACTTCAAAGGCTGCTGTAGCTATAGCTCTGGGCTCCACTGCATGGAAATATTCCTAAATCCATGGTGTTTTGATGGTTTCTGATTGGCTTGGTTTGGATCCTGCTCTGGAAGAGCAGCGAATGGCTGAGAAGAAGCAAGCTAGAGGCATCCACCCACTCCTATTGTCCTGCTCTCCTTCCTATTGAGAGAGCGGGGTGATGTAGAGGTTTAATTTGCTGGATTCTACTGGATACAGTGGATATGGGGGAGGGAGCCAACCATAATTCTGCCCACCCTCAGTACTGCAGTTCTATTACTGATTCTGGGCTTAGGCTAGAAGTTGAGAAACAGTGCGAGAAAGATGGGGAGGTGCCCGCTATTCCTCAGCCATAGGCTGCTGCTTCAGACAGGGACAGGTACTGGTAAAAGAGCATCTGAGCCAGAGTGTAATAGTGCGGGCACTGGAGACTCTCAGTAGGTTGGAATCATTGCTGGCTATTCGGGTACAGGTAACCAGGTGGGACAGAAGCACTGTAGAAGCACCTGTGGGAGCCTGAAACCTTTCGTTTCCAAGAAAAAATGGGGCCAAGTAATGAGGCTCAGTTTTTTTTCTGCAAGAGACCACAGCACTTAGGGCTGAGGGTCTCTGCAGAGGTGCTCAAGTTCATATACAAGTGCTTTGTCTAGTGTGGGCTGGGAGAACCAAGCGGGCAAACAGGGAGAGATTCCTCAGGTTTCTAGAATGCTTGGAGGAGCTTCCTTTTCCTATCCTGCTGCCTTCTCTTGGGGTCTGTAGCTGTGGGGAGCACCCAGAAAGTTGCCATTAGTGCCTGGTGGCAGGTAAGCACAGGCCCTTGGGCTGCCAAGTATCCAAACTTGTCCCGTAACTGGATCTGAAGGGCCTCCTTCTCATGCGCTCTTCAACATTTCAGTTGGTTTTCCCATCTGTCAGTCCTCTTTTAAGCCAATATCATATCCACGGTTTCCCATGCTGTTAATCCCACTCTGTCTTTTTTTTTTTTCCCTCCATTTCCCCTTTTTTCTCTCTTCTACAACTTTTTCTTTCTCCCTTTTTGCTTTTCTGAGGCATGGATTTTGTATTAGATGTGAAATCATCTCTCTTACTGACATGAAGGACAGGTTCCTCTTTCTGTCTCCAATAGGCTGCCTAGGTACAAAATGTCTAAGGAAAATCAAATGGTAAAAATCAGGAATGAGAGAGAGACCCTGGGGTGGAGAAGGAGGAAATTCTTTCCACAGCCATCTCTAATGGAATGGGAGAGACAGGGCAAGTATGCTACACAAGTGACAGATAGGGTGTCAGAAAGAGGTGGACAGATGGGGAAAACAGAGGCAACTAGAGAGGGAGAGATTGGGTCAAACCCTGATCATAGTGAAGGTGGAAGTTTGGGTAAGGGATTAGAATTTTTAAGGTGTTTCCTTTAATTTAACCTAGAGGGCTTGGGCTCAATAGGTGTTTAGAGGCTAGCGGTTGAGTTTTGCCTTCAGTTCTGGGCAGCGTGGGGCAGGGTGTGTCTGTGTGTGCCCATGGCAATGTGAGTTCTGACAACTTTTATTTTAAAGAAACACAAGTGCTATTAAAATGTTGTTCAGGTATCTAAACAGATGTTTTGTGTGAGGGTCCCTCCTCTGGGTGCCATCCATACAGTCTGACTTGGATATTGTATGGGACATCTGAACAGGCTGTGTTGAACTTAGCAAGCAGGCTGAATTTGTGTGGGCAGTGAGCCTGGGACACTGCTTCTAAGATGCATAGGTGCCACTTAACTGGGGCACTTGTGTTTTGCCCCAAAAAAACAAAGCCTCACTGGCAACATGCCTGAGCCTGCTGAATGCACTTCTGTAGTGATGCATCCTACTAAAACTACAGAGCCCAACGTTCACTGCTGTTGCTTGAACACAGAAACCTTTCTGATTACCTGCAAGTGGTGTAATGCAAAGCAGAGGGTGCTTTGCCCAAGGGTGGTAGTGTTTCTAGGTATTTCCATCTTAAAGATGAGGTGCCCACTCCATATTGGTATAAATCAGCACATTTCTATGATTGAAACAAAGCTGTGTTTATTTCCATTAGCTCTGAATCTAGCCCAGGATTGGTTCACCTGCCCCTGGCTGAACTAATTTTAGTGTCTGTGATATGAAGAATGTCCTAGGACAGCATCTTTTGGAAATGCACAGGAAATCCTTAGCAGCAGGCACCGTCAGCCCCAACCATTGGGGGTCAGTGCAACATTAAGTGCTGGTGCAGCACAAAGAGCATTTGTTTGGCAGAAATAAGCTTTAAAAGGGCACCTTCAAGTTAAGGACTCTAGTATATTATTCAAAAACAAATTTCCTCTGTGTATGGTTCCTAGCCCCTAAATTTTGGTTAATCCTGCTTAATTTCAAAATTCTTAATTTACTCTGTACTCTTTCTGATGATTGTGTTTCTCCTGGCAGAGACACTGAAAATAGACTGGCTGATTTTTAGTTTGGTTTCTACAAGCTTTTGCTGGTTGCTACATGTAAATTGCTTGTTATGCTATTTGAAAGGGGGGACAGTCTGCAAAGCTAGGAAGGGGAAGCGACGTTCACTGGGATTTAAAAAAATGATGGAAATGTTCCTATAGTAGTTGTTACACAGCTTATTTTTTTTTCTTACAAAGGCTGAACACTGGGCCTCAGTCCTTCTGAATGCAGCATCTGTAACTCATCTGGTATTGGAGAGATGTTTTGGGTTGTCCTGTAGGAAATCCCTCTCCCCTTGCTAATTGTTCCCCAAATCACACAGACCACCTACCCTCCCTGTGCTAGGTAAGAGAATGAACAGGACAAGCTAGGCCATGACTGGACATGTTAATCTGAACATTTTGACCTCTGAATAAGGAGGCCAGACCAGATCTCCCTTTGTTTTGCAATGCCAAAACTCGAGTGATGCAGTTTTGCGAAACATGGCAGAGCCCCTCTTCAGTCCAACTATGGATGGAACTGACTGGGGAGGAGGCATGAGAGAAAGGGATAAAGCTGGTGGGTAACAGCAGAGGGAAATGATACCAAGGTGAGGCTCAGGGAAGATGGTCAGAGCCTCAGTGTGTCCAGCCTGCATTGCCTGCAGAGAAGGTTTGCTCTGAAAGAGAGCCTGGATGCATGCATGCATCCATCCATCTTGTTGATCTCAAGACCTCATGCTTTCACCTGCCCTGTCTGTTCCTTCTCACTATCATTTCCATTTGCCAATAGAATCCCCCAATACTTGGCAGCACATGGGCCCTGCAGCGATACTCACCTGGTTCAATTAACCTGTAGAGTGAGCCAAAACCTCACTTCTCATTTTGCCTTGTGTTT